ACACCCACACACACAAACACACACACACACCACCCAACACACACACCACACAAAACACCAGTGAAAAGGAAAATAACCCAAAAAGACCACCCGTTTTCCATTCCGTCTTTCCCCAGCTCCCCCTGTCTCCTTTATTCAGGTTTCCCGTCCCCACTCCCCTCACTCTACCCCTTTTCCCTTTTCTCTCCCTCCACTCAGTTCTTTCCCTTTTATCCTTTCCCTCCGCACTTCCCTTCTTTTTCTTCCTTCCCAGCTTCTCCCCTTTTTTTCCCCCCCCCCTCCGGTCGTTGTTTCTCTTGTTACCTGCCTTTTTTTTTCTCACTGACATAACATCAAGAGCAGTAATCATGCCTCCAGAGATCGAGGAATTAGTCATCCTTCCCAAGAGATCCAGCGTATTATCATTCCAAGGATTAAGGCTGTAATCATACACATCCAAGAGCAGTAATCATGTCCCTTCCCAAGAGATCGAGGAACTTTAGTCATGCCTTCCCAAGAGATCCACTAGCTGTAATTATACCTTCCCAAGAGATTAAGGAGCTGTAATGATACACTACTAAGATGTCCAGGAGCTGTAACCATACCCTACCAAGAGATTCAGGAGCTATAATCATACACACCCAAGAGATCCAGGGACTGTAGTCACATATTCCCAATAGATCCAGGAGCTGTAATCATATATGCCTAATAGACCCAAAAGCTGTAAGTATTCCTTACCAAGAGAGCCAGGAGCTGCAATGATACATTCCCAAGAGATCCAAGAACTGTAATTATACATTCCCAAGAGATACAGGAGCTGTAATCATACACACCCAAGAGATACAGGAACTGTAATCATACACACCCAATAGATCCAGGAGCTGTATACATTCCTAGGAGATCCAGGAGATGTAATCATTCCTATCCAAGATATTTAGGCGATCCAGAAGTTGGAGATCAATGCTGTTGAGAATTCCAAGCGCTGGAACTCGACCCAGTCAAAATATGTTTCCACGAACACACTCCGAGTAGAGAGAGCGGCGAGAGAGAAGTACTGTAAGCTGTGGCATTGTGGGTGTATCTGTTATCTTCAGACTTCCCCATTCTGAAGCACGTAAATTCAAAATTGCAGAGATAAAACTACAGGAAATTTAGATATTTGTTCGAAATGAGATGCAATTTTATATTCGTTGCTAGGTTAAACTATTATTAATTTGTTAAATTTCAACATTATATAAAAAGGTAAGCTTCTCATCATTTTTTTTCTTTTCATTTTTGCCGAGTTTTAATTTTCAATAATCCTGAAAGATTGTTTTTTTTTTTTAATTACTGAAACCTACCCTCAGCTGGCCTGATGGAATGAATTTAGGAATGCGATGTCCATAGTTTTTAGTAGTGTTCGTGCTGCAAGGGAAAGATGGAAGGGTTAATTCCGTTGACATATCCCAAAAACCACTCGACTGGTCTTGATTAAACTAACACTAAGTGTTGTTCCATGACAGATGTTAGATCACAGTATTTACCAAAATAGCTGTCTTTAAAATATTTAATGCACTTAATTTTCTGAAATGCATGATATTTCCGAAATAGCTTTAGAGAATAGCTGAAAAAATAATATTGTGCTGAATTAAGTTAGTATGAGGCTCAGCTTAAATTTTTGAACTTCATTCGGCTGACCTTAGCTAGTGTTCCGAAAGAATAAGTTTAATTTTCCCAGTTTTTTCAAAAAATTTAGCACAATGCCCTCTACAGCTTCAATAAAAATATGTACTTCTCTTTAAGTTAGATACACCAGCATTGAAAGTTTGAAGTCGATATAAAGAGGCATTTTCGATGCGCATTGGAACGAATGCAACCCAGAACTTAACGTCTGTGTTGAGAGGCGTTGAGTTGTCGAAACCAATTAACCAGTTTTAACGAAATTGACAAATTAAGACTTATACTGTCCAATAAAATATGAAATCCTTCTATTGAGGAATATATACCAGGGTTGCTGGAAGTATGACGCATATCAGAAGAAGCATTGTTTAGTTATTGTGCAGGAACCACTTACTACCATTTTTAATAATACCAATTCTATCTAGATATTTAGGATATATCATGCATATCAGAAAATTACATTCATTACATATTTTAAGATAACATGTTTGTACTAACGCTGTGTGACAATAATGTGAACTTTCCTCTAAGTCAGATAAATCAGCATTGAAACCGATCAAGAGAATCGCTCTCAAGTTATCGCACGGGAACACTGGAGGAAGGAAAGAAACCAGAGAACTACTATAGGAATCTCCTAATTTGAGGGGGGAATATCTAATAACGTTTCAGAGGTAATTCGTAATTTGGAGATTAAAATGTTTAACGTTTCGGTCATAATCTTCATTTTAAGTTACCGTTTACAAATTGTGGGTAAGTTCAGATTTCAGTATACTAAAATCAAATGTGTCATTAAATAAAGAAAATATGTACAATGCCAGCAGGATAATAAATACGACCCATGTACGACACCTGCGCATCACATCCCTGTATTAGATTAGAAAAGGCCTGGTGTGCAGGTGTTGCACGTGTTCTGTGTAATGAGATAATGGAACGCGCTTGTTTTACTTTTCTCATATGTAACTTTTGCTGCCAAGCATTTCAAAATGGTTTGTACGTCGTGAAGGCTATTCTGTGGGATTGTTGATGTCGTAAACATAGTTCCTCACGAGATAGTTCCTCCTTCCTCTCTTACTGTTGATGTCTACACGCTCATCATCACTAAGGGTTTAGAGTAAAGCTTTATAAGGAATATAATATGATGTTAATATTTATTAAAATAATTACTGTGTTCACTGTTTCCCATCAAACATGCATAATAATGCTGACCTTTTGTACAATCCGGAGTAGTGAGGCTCTTCTTAAATAGCCTGCTCCCTATTTCCCCCGGAACACAGCTTAATAAGGTGTTCGGAAGGCGTGATGAACTCCTACATCTCTTTAAATACCTCTTTGGGAGAGGTTTCCCTTGAGCTCTGAACACGCCCCTCAAGAGGTAATCTCCATAACATCTTGTATCTGTTGTAAGTTGTTTATATTAATCGCCGACAATAATTCAGAAAAGTAATTCTGATATTCTCGTAAAAATAACATTTCCCCGCCATAGTGGAACAACTTTCACAATAGCTACCGTAGGAGCAAGGCACATTCCTGCGTGCAGCACATACGTTAGGAGACTCCGCCCTGTCTGCTGATACCAGCTGCACAAACATTAACCATAGCTGCCAGAGTATGCTCCTCGGCTCTTGCTTGCTAATAACACTGGCTTGGCCAACAGTATATTTCTAACTAATATATTTCTAACTAATAACGAGATGCTGAATTAAAATCTGAATTTAGTTGTCCTCCAACACGTACAGTTTTTGGAAAATAGAACCCCACTGTGAACGATTCAAGACATAGCCATTAATGGAGACGAGATATCAAGGAAACTTGACGACCAGTTTGATGACCGACTACTACTGAGACCGGTGCGACAGAGCCATACTGAACACAAGCTAAAAATAATGAAAACTGGACTGTAAACATCTTTGTATAGCTGGAAATTTTGGCGTTTGCTTATGCTTATTTGTAATGAATCTACTTGAAGAAAGATGAGTGTGTCACTGCATACACTACACTTAATATCTATGCATAATATAATACCTATGAATGTTAGGCAACATATATCACGTGATTCACTTTAAATAACCAAAATATTTATTAAATGATTTAAAAAAAAGTGCCTTACTTGATAGACTAAATAAGCTCACAATAGTTATCAACTCATCAAAGTTATACTACACAACCAGTATGGTTTCTGAACTGGAGAAAAAAGTATATTTGTGGGGGGGATGTAATTTAGGATTGAGCGAAACGTCGTGCTGTTATTATTTTCATTAGTGGGTAAGTCTTGAACTGATGTAAATGTACTAGGTGTCTCCGGGTTGTCTGCTCTCTCCGTGCTGCACAAACATTAAGGCTTACTTACTGGAGGAGCAATGAATATATTGAGAGGGGTGATGGTTGAGGAGCTTCTCCGCTATACTAGAGCTTCTCCACTATACTAGAGCTTCTCCACTATACTAGAGCTTCTCCACTAGAGCTTCTGCATTATACTAGAGCTTTTCCACTATATTAGAGCTTCTCCACTATACTAGAGCTACTCCACTATGCTACAGCTACTTCACTATAATAGAGCTCCACTATAATAGAGCTCCACTACAATAGAGCTCCACTATACTAGAGCTTCTCCACTATACTAAAGCTCCTCCACTATACTACAGCTTCTCCACTATACTAGATCTCCTCCACTACAGAGCTCCTCCATTATACTAGAGCTCCTCCACTATACTAGAGTTTCTCCACTATACAAGAGCTTCTCCATTATAATAGAGCTCCCCCAGCCCAACCGAACTGTTTCACCTGAACGCAAAATAGACAGACATCGTTCGATTCCCAGCAACCAAGTATTAGTGAACGTGACTTATTTTTCCAAAAAAGTTTGTAACTCATGGCTGATCACACTTTGTAATAACGAATAATCAGACAATTTACACCATGACATTTGATTATTAAGTAATTAAGTATTATATATACTGCATGTAGGTTTTGTTGGATTTTTTTTTATTTAAAATTACAAATGTATATGACCGTTAAATGATAACTCTAATCCCCAATTAATTTACGACCAAAAAAGAGTGCAGTTAACGGGCGATCAAACATCACATTACACGTTAATTAAAGGATATGTATGTATTTACTTCTCTTCCCAGCCCCCCTCCAGCGCCTGCGCAGCGGGGCGCTTCGCTCCCCCTGCCCCCCGCCACACCATGTGATTTCATCTATCGTATTATTCAGCATCCACACCTTGTAATTCGTAGAGCGCAATATGCATCAAAACTACTGCACGTTTTCGTATAAATGTGGAAGTGAGAAAGTTTATATGGTAAAAGATGGCTCTATCGTGGGTGTAATAGAGCGGCGCGCGGCGAGTGAGTATAGAGTACGTGGCAACCCAGCAGGCGAGAACTTCACACGGGCTGGTCCGAACTTACTTGGTCAGTTGTTGGGATCAGTCCACCAGGACATGGAGGTGAGTACCTGGGCTCTCTCTCTCACTCCAGCCATTCTTGTACATCTTGTAACTAAGCCATGTAAACACATTCTGATTGTTAAACAATGTAAACATTCTGAATGTTAAGGCATATGAATATTGTAAACGTTGAACCATGTTAAGCATTTTCTAAATGTTATCGTATATGAGACATCCGCTTTTTGTTTCTTATACAAGTTTTTGTCGAATGGCTTGAAGACAGAAACGAAGCTCTTAGGTCTTACGTGAATATACTTTGCGTGTTGCGTTTAACTGGCTTATTACTGCCGTGTACATAAGCCACGTTGTTGAATTATCCGCTGACGTTTGGGTGCTTTGTGGCCGCCGCAGCGTGAGTTTGTCGCAGTGCTGCGGAGCTTGTCGCTCCTCGCGCCGGGGAAATCCTCTCTGAGGAGAAAATTGTATATCGAGCTGGGAGCATTCATTGATCTGCACTCCACGTCCTGCATATATATGTGTACTTATTGCGCCACTCTCTAACATAATTATATGCAGCTTGTAAAACCTATTAACTTTACTCGCTATGGGATTGTGGAAGCAGGGCTGAACTTAATGTGAATGTTGGTCGTGATTGTATGATGATAGTGGTGTTGTGTATGGTGTAAGCGTCGTTTTTGTGGAGATAGTCGGGTGTTATTGGTACTAAAGTGGTGTTAGTGTTATGTTAACCTGGAGTTTATGGTGGTGGTGGTGGTGTAATTGTCGTAGTGTGGTGTTGATGGTGGTAGGGTAATGTATGTTGTAGCAGTGTTGTTGGTGGTGATGCTTGTTGTAGCAGTGTGGTGTTGGTGGTGGTAGCGTAACGTTAATGCTAGTGGTGTTATTGGTAGTGAATTATTGTTGGTGTTCGTGTCTTAGTGGTAGTGTCATGTGGTGTTAAATCGTGGTACTGTAGTGATGGTGGTTAGCGTGGCGTTATTATGGTATTGATGATGAGATTTGATGGTGAGTGGTTTGTGGTAATGTATAAATGGTGGACGTGTTGTGTTAGTGGTGATAGTGAGTTAGAGTGGTAGAGCTGTAGTGGTGATTTAGGTGGTATTGTGGTGTTAATATAATCGTATGGTGCTTGTATGATGGTAGTGTTGTGTAGTAGTAGTGTTGTGATATTGGTGGTGATAGTAGCGGTAATATTGTAATGGTGGTGCAGCTGTGGTGGGTGTTGTGGCAGTGTGGTGGGGTGGTGTTAGTGTGATATTAGTGGTAATAGTAAGGTGTTGATGAGAGTGGTGGAACTGTGGTTTTGGTGGTATTGATATGTTAGTGGTAATAGTGTGACGTGTGTACGATGATAGTATAGTGGAAGTGTGATGTTATGTTGTGAAATTGGAGACGAGTGTGGTAGTGTGGTGGGCATGGTTGTCGTGTTGTGTTGGTGGTGAGCGTGGTGGTAGTGTTGTGTTGATTTATGGCAGTATGGTGGCTGTACGTAGTGTTGCTGGCGATAGTGTGGTGTCAGTCATGGAAGTGCAGTAAGGGTAGTTGCGTTAGTGGAAGAAACGGTAGTGCAGTAGCAGTTGATGATAGTGACTGTAATAATAATAACGTATCTTTATTTCTACAAGTACATGTACAAGGTATACAGGCCTAGCTGACATCACTGACATACTACTATATTGAAAGTTGTTTGTTATGAAGAGCTTTTCAGGTAAATTAGGCCAATTTTTGTCCCAGGATGCGACCCACACCAGTCGACCGAACTCGGGTACCCATTTTACTGATGGGTGAACAGGACCAAGTGTAAAAAATCACACCCACTGTTTCCACCCTTGCTGGGAAACGAACCACGGACCCCTCCGTGTGTGTGAAGCGAGAGCTTTGTCTACCAGGCCACTGGGCACCGTAAAGTTGATAGTGAATAAAGCAGAGCTTGTGAAAATATTGGCTGTGATGACTCTTAGTGGGGGAGGGGATTTTGGTGATTCTTATAAAACTACTTATGCGCAATGTATTATAATTATACACAAATAACCCGCACATAGAAGAGAGGAGCTTACGACTTGGACCATTTACAAAGTCACGCTGTAATATATATATATATATATATATATATATATATATATATATATATATATATATATATATATATATATATATATATATATTATATATATATATATATATAATATATATAAATATGCTAGTGCCTGCAGGTACATGCGTGTAATCATTGAGTAAGGACAGCGATGCATTATGTGGGTGTCTGCTGGCGGGGGAGGCAGTTTTAAAGAGGAGTTGGCCACTCTGCAGACAACTGGGATGCTCCCAGCCCACACACACACACACACACACACACACACACACACACACACACACACACACACACACACACACACGATGTTCCAGAGAGGGGACACAGAAACAAGGGATCACTCTTGGAAGTTAAAGACTCGGATGAGTCACAGGGATGTTAGGAAGCAGTTCTTCAGTCATAGTGGTCAGCAAGTGGAACAGTCTGGCGAGCGATGTAGTAGAGGCAGGAACCATACATAGCTTTAAGACGAGTTATGATAAAGCTCATGGAGCAGGGAGAGAGAGGACCTAGTAGTGTTCAGTGAAGAGGCGGGGCCAAGAGCCGAGTCTCGACCCCTGCAACTACAGTTGAGTACACACACACACACACCTGCAGACAATTAGGATGCTCCCAGCCAACACACTGCAGACAACTGGGATGCTCCCAGCCAACACACTTCAGACAACTGGGATGCTCCCAGCCAACACACTGCAGACAATTGGGATGCTCCCAGCCAACACACTGCAGACAATTGGGATGCTCCCAGCCAACACACTGCAGACAATTGGGATGCTCCCAGCCAACACACTGCAGACAATTGGGATGCTCCCAGCCAACACACTGCAGACAATTGGGATGCTCCCCCAGCCCACACACACAGCAACAATTGGGATCTCCCAGCCAAACACACATGCAGACCAATTGGATGCTCCCACACAACACACTGCCAGAACAATTGGGATGCTCCCAGCCAACACAACATGCGAAATTGGGAATGACCCCACGCAACACACATTCCTGACAATTGCGATTCTCACAGCACACTACAACTGCAGACAATATTGGGATCTCCAGCCAAAACACTGCAGACAATTGGGATTGCTCCCACCAACACCACTGCTTGACAAATTTGGGATGCTCCCACCAACCACACTGCAACAATTGGGATGCTCCAGCCAAAACATCTGCAGACAATTGGGATGCTCCCAACCTAATAGAAACACTGCAGACAGCTGGGATGCTCCCAACCAACACACTGCACACACAACACACAACACACACAACACACACCCACTTGCAGAAACTGGGCTCCTCTCGCAACACACACACTGAATATTAACCAGCACTAGTGAATACCACCCAAAGCATACACAATATCTGATATATGCCACAACATATCTACAAAACACTCCACATTCTGTAATTTTCGGAGAAAAATTCGTACATGGTATTCGCTAAAATTATATGTCCTAATCGTTTTCTCAATTCCTCAATGCTCACAAATAATTAGGTTATATAAATATACACAAAAAAGTATAGATTCAGACCAAAAAATTTGATTGAGAAGTAATTCCTTGTATGCTATACAGCGCCATCATATATTTAGATAAATATGCCAACTGCTATATTATAAAATAGCTCTTAAAGAGCGTGCCGTGATAATCTAGAAAATATATTAGCGGTCCTAATATACTAAGAGCACGGTGAAGAACCCAAAGTGAAGATACCGGGAGGATCCCCTTAAAGTAGGGAGCACCGGGAGGATCCCCTTGAAGTAGGGAGCACCGGGAGGATCCCCTTGAAGTAGGGAGCACCGGGAGGATCCCCTTGAAGTAGGGAGCACCGGGAGGATCCCCTTAAAGTAGGGAGCACCGGGAGGATCCCCTTAAAGTAGGGAGCACCGGGAGGATCCCCTTAAAGTAGGGAGCACCGGGAGGATCCCCTTAAAGTAGGGAGCACCGGGAGGATCCCATTAGAGAGCACCGGGAGGATCCCATTAGAGAGCACCGGGAGGATCCCCTTAAAGTAGGGAGCACCGGGAGGATCCCATTAGAGAGCACCGGGAGGATCCCATTAGAGAGCACCGGGAGGATCCCATTAGAGAGCACCAGGAGGATCCCATTAGGGAACACCTTGAAGAGCCCATTATTCCTTACATACCTCATTTAACTAAAGAGTACATTGTGCATCCCGTTGGGTTAGAGAGCGCATTGATGATTCCGTTACTTCAGACACTGTATTGATGATACCCTTAACAGAACAAAATCATCAAAAATATTACTACCCTTAGATGAAGATATAAAATGAAGCAAAACGGTTTTGCAATTGTAACTGTTGTCTGTTACAATTGCAATTGTTACTGTTGTCTGTCACAGACGCCCTTGAAGAACAGACGGAGAACCTTTTAAAACCGGTAAATGGCCCTTCATCCAATTAATTGAAGTTACCTTCCCCTCTCTTGGATCAAACCTATTTGCCCCCCATTCCCCAAGCTCTGTGATTCCCAAGGGTTTAATAATTCCTCATGAAAAATAGCGCCAATGTTTAATAGAAAAACTAAATACAGACCATATCAACATAAATAAATAAATAAATTAATCCATGTTAAGCGCTAAACCCAAGTGAGTCATTCAGCGCAAGACGTGTTGGAGGCTCGATCCTCCGTCTTGTGAGCGCCAGACAGACGCGCTTCCTATTTGTACTCGCCTAGATGTTACCATATCAACAAAATAGCATTTTAGACTTTCATGGACCATGTTACCTTTAAGTTAGGTTAATTATCTTTTTTAATAGTTATGTAGCCTTGAAATAATCATTAAGCATATACATCTATGCTTTTCCTAAAAGAAATTCGACATAAATAATAGAAATGATACGTTATTAAACGGCTTTCTAAATATTCACTGGTAAAAAAAATTACTTGTGTTAAATGTAAGTCACTGAGAATGTTGCGTATGAAAGACGA